TGGAACGTCAAATCTTGTACATTTCCAAATACTAAAATTCATTGTAAATTTGAAACGCAGATAATGATTTTAAAAGTAGATGTATAGATTCTAATTCGGTCTGGTGCTGTTGCAGGAGTTTAGTACCGCGCGTCGACACGGGATGGCATTACTAGTATGCTAAAACACGCTATCAAAGATGAGATGTATATATGGTATTCGAATATTGTATTGTTTGAGTTTTCGCTGGAGTATCAATAAATAGTGATTACAAGTGAATGAAGACTGAAAATCAGCTTCTACTATTGTTTATTAAATGTGTTTAATGGATGTATAAATTAATGACTTTTTATTTTCTTTATTTTATATTTTACTTAATAATTTTCACGATTAGCCTCAGGCCATGTGTTCGATTTATCGATCCTTTCGAATTACTTTAGGTTTGTCACAGTACATACGAGATGAATCTAGGATATTGTTAGTATTGTCTCTCTGTAAATATAAATTATAAGTTTATATCTCCTACTATACACAGCCCTCTTCAAAGAGGAATGATTGACCATCATCGCGGTAATAGTTAACTATTTAACAAGCTATAAGATAACATTTAGTAGCAGTGAAATAGTTCGCCCTGGGAAGTATTGCTGTCTTACCTATTTCTGCCGCCAACCAGTAATGTAAGCATAACTGTTTCAATTTTGGGACTTTTCAACATATGTCTCAGAGTGATGGGCGCGGTGGCGGTGCCCTTCAGACTTTTGCGATTTAAAGCTCAGAGCGGCGTTGCAACTGATATGGACAGGCGTGACGCTTACCATCAGGCGCACGTCTTATTCGTCCCGTCACTTATATTATAAAAAAAGAATTAACACGCGATGGGGTGATCCTATTTGCGACTGGGAACCATACGGTAAGTGGGTTTAGTTTAATTGGTATACGTGTATACCTATCAACTGAATTGCAAATAGGTATGTATGTATGTATGTATGTATTATTAGCGAGAGCTCGGAATTGTAAAATATTTAGTGATGTGCACTTCACATAAAAACCACAAATACAAAATCACAAATAGAAACACAAATTCTTCTGTAAAGACACAAATACCACTACATACGCAATTCCGAGTTCATGCTAATATTACTATACTAGATTTTGAATATTGTAGGTATTCTTCTATTAGTGAACTGTAGTTAGGTCTGGTCTTGATGTAAACACAATTTTACTTAGTAGAAACTTTAATATTCCGCAATGGCAAACACACGTCTCGGAAATATATTTCCGAGAGCAACCCGCGATCACACACTGACTGACACAAACCATAGATAAAAAAACACGTTTGTATAGCCATAAACAAATATAAATTTCGTATCTAATGTTGAAATAGATAGAACATGGATTTCAAAGTCCTTCGAAGTTCGAGATCCAATCCATTCATTGCTTTACGAAAACAAACACTATTTAATTTGGTAAAACGTCGCTTCCAATATTTACTTTATATGTAAAATGTTAAAGTACACTTTTGGTTGATTAGTTATGTTAACTATATTCTGATACGATGCCACTGATGTGCAGAATACCGCTATGTAACCCTAACAGAATACTACCCTATGGCTCCAAATAACATACAATTAAAAAGCACTGTAACATTTATAAAGTAACTGACAGCTAACGAAAGCGATTTTCAATATGGCGAAACGCGCTTAATTTCGTATACTGTCGATGTTCGATAAGGTAAACAAGATAATCTGTAGTACAGAGTATTAAAAAAAACGATTTCAAAAGTCATTAATCCCCTTGTTTGCCACACTTGGAGGTGGAAAATTTTCTTCAAATTTAAATAGGACCAATTCTGAAGTATCCTCTTTCCAACAAAAAAATCATCAAAACCGGTTCACAAAGCCGGAGTTATCGTGTAACATGTAACAATAATATACAGTCGAATTGAGAACCTCCTCATTTTTTGAAAGTCGGTTAATAAAATGATGATGACTCTTCGCGAGTTCGCGCTATGCGCCTGATCGGAGACACACTCAGTGTGATGATATTGACACATTCGCTGATAGCGTTGAATATATATGTATGTAGGGAGACTTGCAAATTATTTTAGAATTAGAATAGTCAATGTCATAGTCAAATAACCTATATTTCATAATAGGTAAGCAAATTATACTTGAAATTCCCATACTGATTAAACTCTACTGCTCATTCAGAAGGCAGATTCCCCTGAGAAGAACGAGCAAGAATTAATTCATACGTCTTAGATCGAGACTACTTGCAAGAGCTAAACGGGTCACTACTACAGATTTTCGTCATCCAATTACGCAGAAGCTGTATAATACCATTTAGTATAAAGTTTTTGTTTCACTATAGTTTTAAACATCGTGAATGGCAAATTTTGAATATCAATCGCAATCTTATTATATAGAAGAATTATATGTTATATATTGTATGACATGCAAGCGTATTGGCTATTTAGCTGTAAGTTTGCAATGTAAAATGAATAAATAAATAAATGACGTCCAGCGTGCGAATTTTTGCTTAAAAGATGGACGCCATAAATTTCATTCTCGTTCGCGCGCTCCAGTTAGTCGTAACTCTAAATCTTTGGATGAAACAAAGATTAAATCGTCAGATAGTACAGATAGCATCTATCTATAAATCCATTAATAAACTTCCTCCAATCAGTTTGTCCGTCCACATAGAGCCATCACTTTACTTCAAACGTTGTATATGTTTCAATCCGGCACGGTTCTGCGCAGCATCACTTGTCGAAAACAACCGTAGAACGGTGTCGATGTTTTTAAACGTTAATTGACAAGTTTAATAGTGAAGTTTTAGGGCAAAAGTACATATTTTTCACACACACATAACTAAATATGTTTTTATTAGTGGTGGTGTGTTATTTGATAACACAATCGCTGAATAAAAAGCTCTGTTTTTACTATCTTAGAATCGAAATTCCAAAAGAGGCTAGCGGATAGGATCGGCAAACATAAGTACTAGATCAAAAAACATGGACTTGACTTGTCACCAAAGCTTAGTGTATCAAATACACAAATAAATGTGTTCTTAACAATGCTTTTGTGGTGCTCTTAGGTAACACAGGTTAAGGTGTATGTAAATAATCGTTAAATATGAAACTCTGTTTTTACTATCTTAGAATCGACAAGGATTATCCTATAATATAGGCACACAGACATGGGCTTGACTTGTCACCAGAGCTTAGTGCATCGTTGGCATACTCTATATTATTGCTATCCAAATTCTAAGCACGCTGTCCGCATCACTAGTAGCCGCCATTAAATCTTCCACCGTGCTGTTGTTAGGGCACGCAAGCCACGATGTAACGTGGGCCGTCGTTAGAATTACACCGTAAAAGTATTTCTGGTGCAGACCAATCCAAAATCGTTACCGCGCATATTGTTCTTGCTCCAACAAACCTGAGCCTGAAGACTTAGTGATTTCCAGTTCGAAAATGATTGAATGAACCTTCTAAGATAGTTCGCAATCTTTCGCGACGAAGCTTTAAAGAAATATAATACTAAATTACTTATGTAAATATTACTTATGTAATATATGTAATTACTTATGTAAATATTTTTTAAACACCTTTGATCTGTTTGGCATACAGACGCTTTCGCACATTTGTTTGGTCGTGTAATGCAAAACTTGTATGTGAAAAAAGGACTTTAACAAGTGGTGGAGAAAGCATTCCTGTTGCAAAAGTACGAACTCGAATCCTGTCATTGTCATATGGACATGATGATAAGGTCCTATAAAAATAGCATTAAAAGTCATTGGCAGTTCACATTTGTACCTCTTGTACCTATTAGGTGCATAATAAGTTAAGAAATTGCAATCACGAGAAATCCCGTGTGTTGTAGATTTTTTAACATATATTTATTATTTTCACAAACATAAAAATTGTACCTACATGTAATTAGAACCATATAATAAAATCTATTCCACTTTATGTTTGTAACAGGATTGTACCTAAACTAGGCGGGTTACTACATAAGGTTATTATTAATAAGTCTAGCGAACTTATTGTTGTGAGCTATGGTCGCAACCCAACGTTCTAGAAGAGCTGTGCTCAGTAGTCAAACATAAGTTAATAATACAACGGTCTCTAACTAATTAAAAGGTAACAAATTTGTAAAAATTTACATACACGGATATATTATGTACGTACAAACGTACCTATACGAGTCACCTAGTTATCACTCTTGTAAAAATAAATTTTATTTACACAATTATATAACCTGGGAACTAAAATCCAACTACAATAACAATTAACAATCACACCTTTGTAATTGTAAATTATAAATATAAAATATAAAAAGTAGGCATTGAAATCTTTAATAAGAAACACAAGACAAAAAGCGTATAACTTATACTCGTATTGTTGCATTTTGAACAAAATGACGTTAAAGACTTACCTATGCAAATTTTGTTTTATTTGCCTATACAATACATAAATTCATTGTTAATAAGGAAGTTTCAAAAATAAATAATTACAAATAAATTAATCGGATTAAAAATGTATACTGATGACAAAGTGGTTATTTATAAGATCGCTAGTGCGAAGGTGAACAAAATGAGACCTTCGGGAGTCTTCTCAACGTACAATGAATTAGAGATTAGTATGTGTAATTAATGGAATAACTCTTCAATTGCCCATTTTTACACCTACATAAATAAATACTCCTTAGTAACTATCGATTGAAGGTTAACAATTAGTTAAATAATTTATTATGGAAGTATGTCGGTAAAAAGAACATCGCGGATGCGATTATGTAGTTTGCAACCAAACAAAACCTGTTTTGTTGAAAATACAACAAAATTATACGATCTCATTGCCAAGTCATATAAATTGAAAAAATATATTAAATCCAATACAAATCCAATAGGAAATAATAATTGTGTTATGCAACAAAATATTCTAATTAAAACAATGTTACATAAATAATAACGTTAACAAACAGGTGTAAAGGTGTTCAAACGTCCAAAACTTTACTAACCTGAATCATGAATGCTTCTTTCTCTACTCTTCCTCATAAACATACATCAAATCGCACAAAGTGTCACTTCACAGTACATTGCACATCTAATCCAAGCTATACATGTAAGTACGTACGAGACATAAATATATTCGTGATTATGTCGAGTATCGAGCGCGTTAACACGACCGTCTAACAGTCTGCGAGACCGGACACTGGGCTTCAGTGGCGAAGAGCGGGATGAAAGATATGCGGGGGGACACATGCATGCTGAAGGATGCCAAAGGAGCCGGGCAGATGCGACAGGACTCCGGAGAAAAGAGACGACTACACTGCGTGACATTTGAAAACTGTGTCTTTACACCACCCCTTGTGCCTTTAGAGAAAAATCGTTCTTTACTCTTCAGTAATAGAAACTAGTTTCATTTTGTTATATTTTGACTTAGGATGTTTGCGTTCTAAAGGTTGAATGTCCTCTAATGTGTCGCCCGTTACGAAGCGTTGGCTTTAAACACGTTGCTATAGAGGTGAGTATCGCATGCGGCGTTTTTGTCGCTTGTGTCGTATAGCCGCAGGGGGTCGTGTCGCATTGTCGCGTTGGGACGGCGCGCGGGCGTGCGAGCGGGATGGGAGCATGTGGGCTGTGGGGTGGGAGGAGGACGGGGAGGTGTCACCACAAGCGCTTTTTAGGGACTAAAGCCGGATCAACACGAGCTGTGGAGCTGCGGATTTATTTGCGACGCTTCTTTGCGCAATATGAGAACTATGGTTGTTCGGTAGCGCACATGGATACTACCGTACTTGTATGTACAAGAACAGAATTGATAGTGTTTTAGTGTTACTTAAACTGGAACTATACAGTAAAGAATTATTGTATGATGTATAGGTACTTTTGTGTTACATTGAATAACGTTTACGATTTCGAACATTTGAGCTGAATTAGCAAAGTCATTGAGGGTTACAGGTAATTTTATTCAAACATTTTGAGTTACGAAACCGTACGGGAAAAAATAATTAAATCCCACTTGCGAAATAAGCTTTACTTGACCATTAAACAGTAAAAAAAAGAGTAAAATTCTAGAGTAATTATAATTTCAAAAATCTATTTACAAAATTCACCTGTACCTTTGTCACTTGTCATCACAATAATAAGTATCGTAACAAAAAATGACTTTCTCCCGACAAAAAGAGTTATACCATTTTGGCACAATGCGGTAGCGCCACCGGACAGTTTGACAATGAGATTGTGACATTTTTGGGTTTTGTCATATTGTAGGCCACAGGGATGGTATTATTATTGGTCGAGTAAAGTTGGAGTAACAGGCTGAAAATTCTTTTGTATTTTTTTACATCACCGCGCGCTGTACTCATGTCACTGGCCACCCACATTGATCCAGGAGCGTGAAATGAGCAATGAGATAAGCTGGCGGCATCCGATTAGTTTTCGTTCTCGTTTTGTTTGAGAAAAATAAAATTATTATAATCTGGTCAAGCTGAATTTGTAAATTGTATCCTTAATTTACTCCGTAGGTAAATATACTGCCAGAATTAAAATTATGTAGATATTCAAACAGAATGTTTTAGACAAAGTTGAAAGGTATGTGTATGTATTTACCTTTCACGTAGACAACACTTAAGACAAGACTGATTTAAGTGGAGCGAAGACAGGTGTCAGGAACGGAGCAAGTGGAAGTTAGTGGTCTCTATTAAAAGAAAAGCAAAGAGATATCTTTGGTAGACAGGCGTATGTATCTACTTATATATTTTCATGTACCTATACTTGAGTCAGCACTTGTATACTTGTTGCCGCAGTCCTGGAAGACAAAAGTCTTCGAGCAACGAGTGTTGCCTGCGATGACCTACGGCTCTGCGACGTGGTGACTTACCATGGGCCTCATATAAAAGCTCAAAATCACTCAGCGAGCTTTGAAGCAAGCAATGCTTGGCATTTCTCTACGTGATCGAATCAGAAATGAGGAGATCCGTAGAAGAACGGAAGTCACCAACATAGCTCGAAGGATTAGGAAGTTGAAGTGGCCGTGGGCAGGGCACATAGCTCTTAGAACTGATGGCCGTTGGGGCAGAAAGGTTCTCGAATGGAACGGAACGGAAGACGTTCAGTGGGACGGCCCCCTACTAGATGGACGGATGACCTTGCAAGGGCGGTAACCGATGGACCATCCGATCAGCTGATCTGGAAATCTTTGGGGGAGGTCTATATTTAACAGTGGACGTCTTTCGGCTGATGATGATGATGATACTTGAGAACATTTATATAAGAATAATGTGCCAGACCAGCGCTCCAATTGCATGGTAGGGAATTCCCTGTGTTATGAGTACCAGAGCTCATCAGATCTCTACATCCAGGCCACCGATCATCAATTAGTAGTAATAGGAAATGGATCTATTTTTATACATTTTTTTTATATAACATCAAGTGACGGGACGAATAAATCGTGCGCCTGGTGTAAGCGGCACGCCTATCCATAACAGTTGCCACTTAGAGCTTTAAATCTCAAAGATCTTATGGGCACTGCCACTGTGCCTGTCATCCTGAGACATAAGTTGACAAGTTCCATGTACCTGTATTTCACTAGCACCCTTACAAAAGTAATGTAATGTTCACATTACTGCTTGGAGGCAGAAATAGGTAAGGGGGCAGTACGTCTCTGGACGAACTCTTCTACAATGAGCTCTACAGCAACTAATATTGTATCATGTATAGTAGGTAATAGGTATTATAATATATCGTCCGGTAGGTTTAGGTAGGCAGGTAGGTTTTAGGTTGTAACAACTATTTTACTATATTTACATCAAAATCAAAATTGAATTTTAAAACATTACGTGGATATTTTAATACTAACTTATATAACTAATTAAATAAATGTAGATGTATCAAATTATGTAATATTATTTTGTAAAACATTTAAATTGTTGTGCTGATCAGTGTACGTCAAACACTTGTGTTTCCTGTAGGCAATAAAGATAGTACTGTCGGATACAGAATTGTATTATATTTATCTATAATATGCACCATTGCATATTTGCATAGCAAATATTGGAAATCGTTTCACCACAATATAACTGGCTCCGTGACCGAACAGTTGCCTCGCTGGTTTGCCACGCAGAGGTCCAGGGTTCGATTCCGGGCCGTGGGAAATATTTGTATAACCTACATTTATTTCTCTTGTGAGTTTGGGTGCAATTTGTGGTCGTCTATGTGTGGCTATGGCACCAACGATGCATTTTCCGATTAAGATTCCCTAGTACGGGGATATGAGTATGTGTGTTATTTATTTGTTACACTTATTAATGCTCGAGTCGGCTTAAGCCGGTTAGAAAAACCTTAATGACCATGTAATAAGAGCGAAAACATGTGTCTAGCTTCCGCTCGGACCAACGAAACGCACAACGACTTTTTCGCGTTTTTGTAGGATAAACAGATTTTTCTCACCGGCTTAATGTGATTCTTTATCGCAAGTGTGATGATTTCTTTATGAGTGTTGAGTTCTTACGAATTAAGTCTAAATTTCAACAATAACATTAACTGTTTTAATTATTTTGAGTATTGATTTTTTCTTTTAATAATTTGATGACTTCGATAGCCGTGTTATAGTTTTGCACCGTGGGCACTGGATGACGTGGTCCCGTATTCGATTCCCGGTTGGATCAATTTAGGAAATTAACTTTTCTAAATTCGCCTCATGTCGGGGAGTTTTGGGTAATATTTTAGGGCCCGGTAATTAATTGGTGTAGTTGTTGTAGATAGAAAGCCCACATCATAGAGTTGGTAGTTAGTGACGAGATCCTCACTTCCCGAGGTAGAACGATTGGCAGAGATATTAACAAGGCCCCGGAGTGAATGTCGTTACGTTTAAAAACTGTAATTTAAGTTGCTATATCACATTATTATTACCACGCTATTACAATAGTGATGTAACTCGTAATATGTGAAATTCAAGATTATACTATATTAGAACGTAAAATTTGGTTGTCTACCCGTCAATAAAATCGTCGTTAGCAATTTAACAATTAAATGATATCTACTTAACTCAAAACAAAACAAACTTTTTGTGAGCTTCTTGACAAAACAGTCCTTAATAAAAAATATGGTATAATTTTTTACCTTTTATTTTTAAATATATTTGGCAAGTAGTAAATTGGTTAAGTGTCTGTAATATACTTTACACTATATGTACCTACATAAATTTTAATAATCTTACACTGGAAATAAGTAATTCGTTTTTTTACAATACCAAGTGATGGGACGACTAGTTATGCGCCTGATGGTAAGCGACACGCCTATCCATAACAGTTGCAGAGCTTTAAATCTCAAAGATCTTATCACTGCCGTTGCGCCCGTCACCCTGAGACATATGTTGACAAGTTCCATGTGCCTATAATTTCACCAGCACCATTACCCTTCCAAACGCTCACAATTACTACTTGTCGGCCAAAATAGGTAAGGTGGCAGTACTTCTCTGGACGAACTCCTTCACAAGGAGCTCTACTGCTACTAAAATTAGTTTTCCGTCGATTCTGAAAAAATACACTTTTTGCGTTAAAATACTAGGTATTTACTACACACTACGATATTACGAGCTGGAACAACCTGGTGAAGGTTATTGAATTTACACATTTTCGGACTCGATTGTACTAAAGTATCTATAATGTAATTTTAATAGCACTCCATAGTCAAGTGAATGTTTTACACGATTACTATTGTTTCGGCTTTGACTGATGCCCTCTAATGTCCACAGATTATCGCATGTCGTTTATTTGAACTTGGTTCGAATTCGTTTAATGGCTGTTAGCTTTTTTATAATTTTTAAGTTCGTAGAGCTTAATAGTTTTTAATGCATCAAAATTTTAAATTTTTTATCTGAATAATATACATACATACATATAGTACCTTCATTAATAAAGTTACCAACTCCAAAAAGTAACATTTTTGAGAAACTTGTATAATAGGTACGTAGTAGGTACTGGTCGTATATACCCTTTGATTAGTAACGAATGTGACTAAATTCCGTTTGATACGACAAAAGACATTAGTTTTATCTATTTCGTACATAATTTAATTTAAATCTAGTTTTTCAGTTACTCAAAAATTTACATTACGAATTTACAATTGCGATGTAACAAAGGCTTGAAACTGTAAAATCAGGATTTAATAGGTGTAAGAAATATTGCATTAGGCAATAGAATGAGATAAAA